CATAAGTAGTGTGTTTAATATTATTAGTGTTATTTATTGGACTTTTTACCTGCCTTTCACCATGTGATTCCTGGTCGGATTACAACAATGTTAAAAGACAACATTAAAAGCCAGTTAAAACAATTCAGCAAGGCCATATCCAGTATCCAGTTATCCAGTTATACCACTTTAACAGTCATGGCTTCCCCCAAGGAATCCTGGGAATTGTAGTTTATTAAGGATGCTGAGAGTTGATAGGAGATCCATATTCCCCTCACAGAGCTACAATTGTGCTTTAACAATCACTTCCTCTTCCCATATAACACTCTGGACATATGTCCTACTTTACAGGATACAAAAGAGGCATCTTCTCCAGGGAAAGGATATCTGGTCCAAGTTTAGTATAAAGATAGTCCAAGTTTAGTATAAAGTATAAAGTCCAAGTTTAGTATAAAGTATAAAGAGCCATAAGTAGGGAGAGCCTTGAATTTCATAGAACTGATTCCTTCATCCAAGTCATTTATAAAGATGTTGACCAACAACGGACCCAGGACAGAACCCTGCGGCACCCCACTTGTCACTTTTTTCCAGGATGATGAGCAATAATTAGTGAGCACTCTTTGGGTTCAGTCAGTTAACCAGCTACAAATCCACCTAACAATTACCTCATCCAGTCCACACTTTACAAGTTTCTCCACAAGAATATCATGGGGGACTTTATCAAAAGTCTTACTGAAATCAAGATACACTATGTACACAGCATTCCCCTGATCCAGCAAGCTTGTATGGCATGACTTGTTTTTGAGAAACCCATATTGGGTCTTAGTAATCACAGCAGCTTCTTCAAACTGCTGACACACAGACTATTTAATGATCTTTCCTGATATCAGTGTCAAGCTCACCAGTCAGTAGTTACGTGGGTCTTCTCTCCCACCCCACTGCCGCCTTTTTGAAGATAGGGACAACATTTGCCCACCTCCAGTCTGCGGGGACCTCACCTGTTCTCCAATAATTCTCAAAGATTTTAAACAGAGGCTCTGAGATTACTTCCACAAGCTCCTTTAGCACCATCACCATTCCTTAGAGATTGAAATTCATTTAAAGTAGTTAGATGTTCCCTTACCACCTCTTTTCCCATCTTGGGCTGCAGCTCCCTCCTTGCATCATTTATTCTGTTACCACCAGGTTGAGTTTGTATGGGGATGAAGAAGACATTTTCTTTTCCTGACACTATATTTGCCCTTGGTGGCCTTTATATACCTGCCCTATCTTTCGTGTAGGATGCTTTGCAGGGTTGGAGGTCAAATTTTTCAATTTCAACGAATGAGTTAAGCTCATAACTTTCTATCTCTTGATTAAATCAACCCACTAACCTGTGAATAATGGACAATGAGGGACTCAATGGGTCTTACATCTGAGAAGACATATATAGGGTTACGCCATAAGGCTGCAGTCTCAGGCATGTTTACATAGGGGTGAACCCCGCTGAATTCAGTGGGACTTATTTCTCAGTGAACATGCTTAGGATCACACTGCAAAAAGGCCTTAATTTGAGCTGGGTTCTTTGTACCCCACACTTAAAATATCCAGTGTGCTTTCTGTTCTTGATTCAGTGCAGTCCACTTGTCTTTCAATGTTCCACATGACTTTCCCTTAATATGCGAGTTCAGGGCACAAAAACTAAAACAAGAAACAAGCACTCTCCTAGAAGTTGCATCCGTTGGTCTTCTTCTCTCTTTAGTACATATTATCGTTCTTCAGAAGCTAATTCAACTTTTCTATGTATTAGTGAAAGTGGTATTTGACAGTTGCATTGTGGTTTGCCGTTGTGTTGCAATGCATATTGTGTAACGTTATGTAACAAATTAACAGAAAGTTCTTGGCCTTGGAGGCAGTATTACTAAATACATATCCAGTAAAAGTGTGTAATAAATCAATTGGTCTTGAAACTGACAAAAAGGCAAGGATTTTTTTCTTTTCTTGTATTGACCATGCTTCAGCTGCTGGAGGATCATGAAGGGTTTTCAAGTTCCTAGACCACTTGACTTTTAATAGAAAAATGTCAAATTTACAAGTTTAACAGTGCCATCTTCTTAGAAGTAGGTCCCACAGATTGAAAGGGACTCTCAGTCTGTATTCTCAAGTACGGACAATTCTTTGGTGACCAATGCAGCATTTGTAAGCTTCTTTAAATAATATTTTATGTTTTAGCTATTATTATTTAACTCCAATTAACATTAAACTGTTTGTTAACTGGTTTAATCTTCCCTACAAAAATAATAATGAAATATGCCCTATTGTTGGCTAACTCTTGCTTTGCTTTGTATTTATGTACTTAAACATTGATTTGGCAGGGTTTTTTTCTTTGTTTTGGTAATGCTGATTTATTCTGCATTTGTTGAATTGTTGATTTTTGTCATTTGAATTTACTAACATGTTCTGTATTTTTGTATGTTTGTATTTTCAATGTTTTGATGTTTTTAAATTTTTGGTGTGAGCTGCTTTGGGCAAAGCTCATTGTGGAAAAGCAGCATATAAATAAATTCAACCAATCAATATGCTACAAGTAGTTTAAATGTGTGTTTTTTTCATTTTGGGTTTTTTAAAAAAAAATGTGACCAAAGTAACAGTTTTGCAACCTCAATAATTCATCTGTAACTTTGTTTCTCCCCCCCCCCCAAAAAAATATGGATCAATAATTTGTTTTCCATCTGAGCTAATGTTTCATGGACGAGTCTCAAAATTATGGTAATGTTTATTGGAAACTGTGGGAAATAGGCTCTCTGGTAAATGACCTTGAACCAATGTATCATGACCAATATAACATGTGACAATTCACTGATAGACATCCACAAATAAATAGCTCCAAAGCTAAACCGTCTTGCATTCACAAGTTGCCAGTCAGCATCAAGTCCATGAGGGAAGTTGCAACTTCCAAAGGAACTTACAGCGGTACCTCGGGTTAAGTATTTAATTTGTTGCGGAGGTCCATTCTTAACCTGAAACTGTTCTTAACCTGAAGCACCACTTTAGCTAATGGGGCCTCCTGCTGCCGCCACACCGCTGGAGCACGACTTCTGTTCTCATCCTGAAGCAAAGTTCTTAACCTGAAGCACTATTTCTGGGTTAGCGGAGTCTGTAACCTGAAGCGTATGTACAGTAACCTGAGGTACCACTGTATACTTAGCTGCAGGCAACACTCAAATGACTTGCTTCTTTCCAACGAAACAGTTGTCATTTTCAGGAAGGCAAATGCCAAAAAAGTTCCTCTTTTTGAAGATGACTTCATGTTAATGAATATAATATTGCATCACCCAGTCCACTTTTTTTTCTAATTTCCCAGTCTTAAACCCAAAAATAATGAAGTTGCCAACTGACACTAGTAGTTCACTGGTTGTTTCTGCTTCTGCACTTTCATTCAACATAATCACATTTCTCCTAGGGACATTATTCCCCATGGTTGTAGCATTTATCTTAAATTATGTTGAAATTCATTTATGCTTTGTGTTCCAAGGTTGCCTTCAACATTTCACAGGCAAGAGACCTTCAGTTCCTGAGGGGTCAGGAAACTCCAGAAGATGGCCCAGTCTTGACCTGACAGGCTTCCATAATCGGGCCATGAGGCCATTTTGAGCAAACCATAGCCACCCAACCTGCAACTGATGTGTGTGACCAAAAGTGGGGCTTGTCCAGCTTCCAAAGTGCCAAGTGCCTGACAACCAGCTGGTTGTTGGAGGCTGGTTGTTGGAGGCACTGCCCAAAATGGGGAAACCAGTTTAAAATCCAACATGAAATCCTCTGGCCACAATTTTACCTCACTTTTTTCTCTAGACACCCAAAACATCATAACCTTTCCTCATAGGGGAACCACTCCAACTTCATGTTAATTTCAGTTGCAGCTGTGACATTTTTATTTTCCCATTATGTGTTGTAAGCCATTTTTAAAGATCTCTGAAAGAAAGGCATGGTGTCCATGTTTTAATAAAATGGAACCCTGAACCAGCTGGAACACCCATCAGACGGCCCCACAGAATCTCACCTGCAGTTAACCCAAGCATGTGATGAAACTGTATTTTCTGAAAGCCCAGACTCATTCTTGCTGAGGATATGTACTTCAGGAAATCACTAGGGTATTGATAAACTTAGTTGCGAATGCCATCAAAAGACTGGCATCTGTGGCATAGGTTCATATGAAAGAGCCTTCGATAATGTCCACCACAACTAGCTTGCGCAGATAAACAGCAGTCGTATGAAAATGCTAGGTTGTTAGATCTTCCAGCAACCTCTGTGTTCATTAGAGCCTTCTGAGTGGACATCTTACTTTCTGACTGAACTGTTTGCTAGTACAGTGGTACCTCGGTTTTCGAATGTAATCACTTCCAGTAGACCGTTAAGATTTCTGAAACATTCGAAAACGAGGCGCAAAGGACCGCCTGCGAATTCAATAGAGAAAATTGGGGGGGGGGGACTCAACGAAAGCCATTTGCCTTCCAAGGTGCGTTCGAAAACGGAAGCATTTAATTCCAGGTTTTCGGCATTTGAAAACCAAAACGTTCAACTTCCGAGACGTTCGAAAACCAAGGTACCACTGTATATAGGAATATTTGGATATCGTAACAACACAAGTAGGGAGCATTGAAAGCATACTGGTATTCTGCCCATAGATCAAAGAGGGCTGTTTTGTGGCCTTAGGTCACTACATAAGACAATTATTTCTCCCCTATGACAGTTGAGATCCTGAACATCCACGTGCATTTTTCATTTAACCATTAATTGGTTACTTGTTACCTGCCAACCTCACATATACTCTCGATTTTCCTTTGACTGGGCTACAGTGTATGGATTGTCCTGGCATGCCCAGAGTGTTGATTCTGTACATTGCTTTTTCTCACAATGCACTTTCACAGCTATACAAGCCCTTCCCCCCGTGACCCCCTCCCCACAGCCGATTAGCAAAATCAGTTCAAAAACACCAGCAGGAAAAAAAAAGATGCAAAAGAAGTTTGGGAAAATAAACCAAGTGAGAATTAAATTCTTTATTACAAAAAAAGCCATAGATGGTGGTTTTTTTAAAGATATATTTGTTATTTTTTTGTCTAAAAATAAATATTTCATATGGAATCTTGAGATTAGCCAGTGTGGCAAATGTATTCTTTTCTTGCCACATTACAGATAAACAGTAGCACCAATAAATAAAATGATAGTAAATTTTTCTATATTTCTGGGGCGCAGGAGCGGGTTACATATATAAAAATCGTAGTGTCTATTTATTCCGAATCACACATATACATAAACATATATATATATATATATACACACACACATACATATAACCAAATATATATATAATATGTAGATGTATAACCCTTGCCTCAAAAGGAATGTGTAGGGGGAGGGTGTTAAGAGATATTAATTAAATAACTGATCATGCTACTGACTGTCAACAACTGGGGAGAGATTGGATGGAGCAGAAGAGTTAAAAATTTATACATAACAGTACAAAAAAGAGGTACGGCTTATAAATAGTAAAATTAAATATTAACAAAGAATACTGAAAAATACCTAGTTTAAATTATTATTTTTAATTTCTAATTTTTAAAAAGGGATATTAAACAAGTATATAGAACAATGTTTGTCACCTTGCACAGCATGAGTATATACATTTCAGCTGTGTGCGTGTGTGTGCACGCACAAGCACACACACACCCCTGCACGCACACGCATGCACGCACACTCACACATACACCACACTTGCTATTGGGTAGAAGGGAATTTCATAGTGGTTAATCATCAAACTTGCAACAAGTTGATTTTTTGCTTGCCTGGAAACAGACAGGCATTTGGCAGCATTCTCACACAGACCAGATGTAACTTGATTTTTTAAAAACCCAAACTTCTGAAACTGAGCACCAGGCGTACACCCCACTCCAGTGAAGGCAATTGGAAGCAAGCTTCCATACACACACACACACACACACACACAATGGGCACATGGTTCTAGACCTCTGCATTCACAGCCATCCACCACTGAATTAGGAAACAGGTCTGCAATGCGAAATGGATGGCCAGCGCTAAGTGCTGAATCTCTTTGGGGGGGTGGGGTGGAGAATCCAGAACCTACAGCAAGGGAAGAAGTTTGGATTCATTCCGCCCACTCACCGAGCCAATCAGAGCTGGCCTTACTACCTTTTGAGCAGCCAGGCAGCCACAGGTCCATGCATGCAGCATCCCTCAGGTGCGCGCGCACACACATACACACACTGAACGCCAACGTATTTTACATAAATTAAATAGGAATAGGTTTTCAAAGGCAACAATGCTGCTTCAAATCTCAAAGAGTCTGCACCACGTGCACCTGCTTAGAAGGCAGCAGAAGCTGCCCACAACGTCACAGGTGCTGGGTCCAATCCAACTGGGGGGAAGTCATTTGCTGGCTAAGGCCAGGGTGCATTTGGGCAAGTCAACAAACTTCAGATATTTAAAGTACATTGCTGCCACCTCCTTTCCAGATCAGAATGTTTACTTAATACCTAGTGGTTTGGTGTGCTTTGGTGTTTATAGTGTTTTATCTTGCAAAGGCACTGAGCATTATAGCCTGATCTCACAAGAGCACTTAGGCATCCGTTACTCAAAATTTGTGCATTATATCTAGGTGACTAGCCCAAGCTTCTGTGTTGTAATGCAGTCCCCATACCAGTCTTACAATGGAACTCTTGCCAGTTTTAAGAGTTGCAAAGTTTTTTTCTACTTTCCCAAGGGTTGTGCACACATGGTCCCGCACATCGCAGGCAATGCATGTTTATAGTGGCTGTTGACTGGGCCTGATTTTACAAACACACACGCACACACACACCTTTAATTCAACGGCCTTCCTCAACCTAGCTGAGTTAGTCGTAATCCCAAAAAAACTTAGTTGTAGTAAAAACAACAGTAGCCACTGGAAAGCACCAGGTTGGGAAAGCTGTGCTAAAGGGGGTTAAATGATACTGCCAACATCTAGAGAGCCTGAATATATTAGCCACACTAGGGTGCTACCAACTTTAATCAGGTTCCACATAAGAATGTTCTGAACCTTGTAGTGGCAGAAGCATGATGAATGGGGTCACTTTGAGGCTATCTTTGTCTCATCAAGCCAAGTCAGACAAGTGTTTTCTGAACAATTCAACACTGAAAATTCAAGATTCTACATGGCACATTGCTCAAGGTTATTGGGGGAGAGGGAAGGAAAATTTAAGATGGGCACCCCCAAAGTCCAGATGAGAGTTTACTTCAGGCAAATAAACTCATTATGAATTATCCAACGTTTGGTGGCGAATGCTTCATAAGTCTCTTGTTAAATAAGTTTCTGTTGCAACGGAACACGTTTTCAAATAAACAAGACCGTGTATTGGTAGGATAGGCAACATTACGCCACCAGGATGATGGTGGAAAGAAATAAAGTTACAAAACTCCAGCATAGCACAAGATGCCTTGGCACATTCATGTTACAACAGCTTGAGAATATTAATGAATTCACAAAACGAGAAGTAATCTCTCATCGGATACTGCCCAACAGGCTGTAAATGCCACTTTCCAATTTTGAACCTGTATATTTGTGTGCATATACTCCCCACACAGACACACACTCACCCCCCGCCCCAATCTATTGTACATATATACTTCAGATTAATATCCCTTTCCAGAGATGTTCCATAAGCATCTTCAATGGCAGCTCTGTGCATAAGGATGGCAGACAGCACTGCTCAACTGCCTGGCTATATATACTTGCTTCCGTGTACTGCCAAGCCCCCATATCCTTGATTTAAGTAGCAAAGAGAGGTTGCAAGATTGTAGATCCCAGCAACGCCTGCTCAAGTTGACAAGCACCAGCCACTGACAAGCACCGTTAAGGCCAGAACATAGATCCAGGGCAAAGTTCCTGCAGCAAAGTCAATTCGACAACATACACCAGTGTCCCATCAAAGCAGGCAGGTTGCAAGACAAGTTGGGGCAGATCGTTTTGGAGAGGAGGGAGAGGGAAGTTGACCGAATCCTCAGACCTAGTGGCTAGAGTCACTTCCTTGACCTTTTGACCCATAATATTCCAAGGCCCCAACTTTGGAATCCCCTGCCACCTCCTCTCTGGTGCCAATGTCTCTCCATACAAGACAGGGCCTGGGGAACTGAGCTTGGTGGAGCAGCATGCTTAACAGAGTCAGCAAGAGTATGAAGATTACACTGAGCGCTTTTGGCTGAAGTCCAGTCATCGTTTCTTTCTTACGCCCCAAGTAGCCCACTTGTGTCCACAGCAGTTGAATATATCCAGTGAAGACACCAATAATGTTAGCAATCTTTTTTTTCTTTCTTAAAACTCAGAATATATATGTATATCTATATTTACAAACATATATATTTTTATTCATGTGAAACGGGAGTCCCAAAACATACCACTCCAGTCTCCCTGGCTCTATTATTTAGCAGCATGAGAAGGAAAGTCTCTATAGAAAACCAGTTCAAAACCAAAAGGTGAATCTTGTGAGGGTCCTCGGGGAATGTTCCTTCCGGAGTCCATCGTCCGTACTCAAAAGTGCTGTGCTCTACTGATCCTTCATTTTAGTGTTCATTTGGATTAGTGTTTTTTGACCAGGCGAGATATCAGGCTCCAGAAACCAAGGCTCTCTTCCCCCACTCCTTTTCTTCTCTGCTGCTCACCGTCTCGGTTTTTCACATCTGTTGAAGAGAATGGGCAGGGAGAAGAGGTTATGGTTAACTGAGGTAACTTAGGGGTGGGATTCTCTGAGGTGATGAAGGCAGTGGTAGGGGAAGAGGAGAACTACAGAGCTACTAAAAGAACAGCCAGTCCCATTGTTCCCCCACATAAATCCATACAAAGCAGGTGAAGTGGGTGACTTGAGATTTGTCTTAAAGAGCAATTTTTTGGGGGAAAAAACAACACCACTGCATTTCCATGTGATCCCTGCTCCCAAATAATGACAGAAAACTACTTTCCTCTCCAAACTGTCATACCTCCTTGCACGTCGCAACTCACACACACACAAATTATCCCCTCCCAATCTATATTGTTTTTTGTTTTGTTTTTTATGTGGAGGTGCAGCCAAACAAAGCCATGAGTGTCTCACGCAGGCAAAAGGGAAACAAAAAATATATATTGTTTGTCATTCCACTCTTTGCCAAGAGACAGTGGTTAGTGCCTGAACACAGCAGCAACAGTTTGTGGCAGAAGCAGGAAGAAGATGAATTTGCTGTGCCCTTTTAAGGTCCAGATTTCATAACTCAGTAGGAATGAAAGTTCATCTGAAGCAGCTTTCCACACTCACACAGATATGAGGTTGCCAGCCCCAATGAGTACAGCCTCTCCTCCCACCCGATGCACTGACAAGACACTCTGAAAATCAGCATTTCACCCTGGCACAGGGGAGAACCTAACCATGGGGTGAATAATTTCCAAATCCTAGAGCATTTTTCCTCCTCCTTTGAGAAACCTTCTGAGCCTTAAGCTTCTAGCAAGGATGCTTTTCCAAAGCTGCTCTTTGGAAAGTTTGAGGAAAAACTATAAAGGTCAAGGGCAAGAAGATGCCTGGTTTCTCTCCAGGGACTACTTCTGCAGGGTGAACTGTAACCCAAGAAGAGCTGGCTCCCTTCTTTCTGCAGCAAAAGGCATCCACACTCAGGTTACAACCCCTCACAAAATTCCCCTGCATAGAGAGCAGTGTGTCTCAAACTCCTCCACTAACAGAGAATGGAGCTTCCTGGCCAATCATATCAAAAAGCCCAACGGTATCCAGCTCAACATCTGCAGGCACACATGGTCGACTGCGGATACTGTAGGTCAGTCTTCACCAATCTAGTGTCTTCCAGATGTTTCTGACTAAAGCTGCAACTCTACAGAGTCCCAGCAAGTCCAAAACATCTGCAGGGCACCAAATGGACAAAGCTACTGAAGAACCACATGTGCTATTCTCAGAGAACTAAATGGACTCCTGCCCTTCTAGCCTTGGCTGCAGGGCACCCTTTCTCTCGAGGCAGAAATGCTCATTTCCCAAACGTGAAAACAGGATGTATGAAACCTCTTGGTGGCAGGAAGCTCTGGGATCTCTGTGAAGGGTTGGGTGGTATTTGTGGTTACAAAGTGGATACAGAGATGATGACATCTTGTATGCACTCAGTCAGACTTTGAGGTGGTGCATATCATTGGCTTGTGGCATTGCTTCTCTGCCTATTCTAGTCCATGCAAGTCACTCTTCCAATTACACCACAGATGGAAGGACTCAGTCCTAAGGTGGACTACCGCTGCAAGCCTTAATAAAGATTTTAAAGAGCTTGTCTAGTTACACTCCAGTTCTCCTTACAGCCCTGTGTCTGGAGCAAAGGGGACTTCTATTATGATCCAATAGCCTATATCCTATTATACAAGCACTTGCATCAAAGGTACTGAGCCCTTTCCCCTGGTTTCCAGCAGCATGAAATGAGCCATCTTGCTAGCCAAGGAGCACGTTCTCCCTGTCTTGTCGTCATTCCAGCCCAGCCCTACCATAACACAGGAAGCTTGTGACATGAGACTCGTCCTTTTCCCTATCCATGTCAAGCAGGGGAAAGGAGGGATCATAGAGCATTGGCAACAGAAGCCAGCAGGAAGCAAACTTTCTCTCTCTTGCTCTTTCTCAACTTGAGAGTGTTTGTGTGTTTGTGTGAGCTGCACGCACGTGTGTGTGTGTGTGTGTGTGTGTGTGTGTGCGCGCGCCCATATGTTTGTGGGTATTTTCTCTCTCTTTCATTCTTCAGGACACAAACCTGCAAGTGCGCTCGTTTAACTCAAGCTGCCTCGACTTGCAACGTGAGTCTGTGAATTTGCAGGAACATTTACAGGTCTGGGGATCTTGTTTGAACAAGTGCTTTCTCCTTTCTGAGCAAGGTTCACAGTGACTGCAAAAAGGCAAAAGGAAAGAGGTCTAAGCTACAGCGCTTTAGCGGGAAGAAATTTACACATGCAACACCCTAAACATTGAAGCAACCCCTGCCCCCAACCCCCACTCGCTCAGCACTGCTCATTCAGAACACTGCTGGCTGGCAGACAGTCCCAAAGGTGTTCCAACACTTACTTGCAACAGCTTAAAGAGAAAGAAACCGGCTCTCTGCAGCTGCACAATTCACAAATCCTGCATTAGTCCAATTGGCCAAGGTAAAAATGGCGAGAGCCTCCTCATGTTAACAGAGGTCCCCAAAACAAGAGTGAAAACCTGTTAAATACCCAGTGGCAGCTCCTTCTACAAAGAAAGTCTTGCTAATGTCAACTGGGGCAACAGCTATACCAAAAGGTGGAGAGGAGAGGAGACAGTCTCCTAGATTCAGCTGCTTTGTGCGTGGGGGCCTTAATAATAGTAATAGTAATAATAATAATAATAATAATAATAATAATAATAATAATAATAATAATCCCCTTAGGGATTGAATCAAAATAGCTCCTTTTCAAATCCCTTTCCTGCTCCAGAACTGCCACCAGATTATTAGCAATGCAGGATTCTGTGAATTGAAGAGAGAGAGAGTAAAAGAGGAACCACCAATATCCAGAAGAGAGAGAGAGAGAGAGAGAGAGAGAGAGCTCCTCATACGTTTCCCAGAGTCCTCTAGCTCCTCACTGGTTAGTGTTACCATCAGATCACACACACAGACATAAACATGCATGAATGGCAAGCACCAAGCCCTTGTTGCCAGCCTCATTAACAATGACAGCCTTAAAGGGAAAGCTGAAATTAAGGGAAGCGAGGAGATGGGAAATCACACAGGGGGAATTGCAGGGTGCAGCAACAGTGAAGCAAATAAGCCTGCCTGTCCCTTCATGTTGTTGTGCCTTCGGAAAAGAAAGAGTAATCCCAAGAAGAAGAAGAATCGCTCCTCCTTTTATGCCTCTGCGTCAGACGTGCCAAAGCTGCTACGCTACCACCACCAGTGAGGCCACCCCAGCTCTCCACGAAGGAGTGATTTGGAGAAGTGGGTGGGGAATTGTCTCTTTGTTGTAATTAGGTGTATTGCAAGCAGGTGTTTTGATTTGAGGGGTGATGGGAAGAAATGGGGAAGGGGCAGAGTCTACAAGCACATGATGCAAACGTACAAGTTTTGTGGTTTATACCGGCCTCTCTTGCGCTTTCTCTTTTGACCCTTCCCCTTTCCTCGCTTTGATTTTCTGGAAGAAAAACAAAACAAAAAAAAGCAGAAAGAAAGAAAAGAGAAGGAAGGAGGAAGAGAAGAAGCGGGAAGGAAAACAGGGAGGGAGGACAGGAAATGGGGAAGGAACTGCCCTGTGGGCTTGGGCGAACAGGAAGCCCAGGAAGAAGAGAAGGCTGGAAAGCCTTTGGCTCAAGGTTTCTTTTTTGCCACCTCTTACTCTAGCCCCCTTCACACCACCAGCACAACCTCTGTCAGGGCTACGGAGCTGAACCATGGCAGGACCCAACAATGTCTCAGCATGCAACCCTGCCACTGGCCCAAGAGATGGGAGGAGCTACTTCTCCCCACATGGAGGCGGGGCTTGCTGAAAGAGGCCTGGAAGCCGCCTGTGCCCAAATGAAATGCACTGTTCACCATCAGCTGGTAAGAGACAGTGCAGGCAGGCATCCTTGATAAAGCATTTGCGCCTTGCCCCGCATATGTCTGGATCATTCTGACACACAGAACTTCTGACCTCAGAAATCCAGTTTGAAGAACTCCAGTAAAATTATAAGGGTGGAATTCAAAGTAGCACTAAGGAGACCACCCATCTTTGCCCCTGATTTGGGGGGCACAGAAGGAAGGAAGCCCCATTGCACTAGCTGGACTTCTTGTGTTGGCTCCCACTAGCACAACTATTTAGTTGAACTCAGCCATAAGTGGTGCTCAAAAGTAGGCAGGCAGCAAATGGAACTGCTGACTAAAATCTCAACCTCAGTCCCTTTGGCCTTACTCTGGAGACCATGAACTCTGGGTCCATTTGAACCCAGCATGCTGTTCCACAGCTATGACTGTCATGTTGCAACTGACAGCAAAGCAGCCAGTTCTGCTATCGCTTTGCTGCTGGGGTCATCCACAAAGACTGAAGCCATAACTGATGCTGGCAGGTGAACAACGATGCAAGAAGAGGAGTCCTAACCCAAAGAACCGGCTGCTGAACTTCTCTTGCCTCTCAAGCACTGCTGGGAACAAAGACCTGCCAAACAGCCTATTTCTAAATGATGAGATGGTGAAGTAGCCTCAACCTAGCTAGTGCTCTTTGGGTTATGGCCCAGTCCTGCCAGAGAATTTGGAGCCACCTTCCTGCAGCTAAGATGAGACTGATAACCTGCTAATATGGGAACTGAAGTCTTATTCCAATATGGGAAGCTGCCTTATAGCAAGCCAGCATTTATTATGCTGACTAGCAATGGCTCTCCAGGGTTTCAGGCAGTCATGTTTCCCAACCCTACCTGGAGATGCCCAAGACTGAACTTCAAACCCTTTGGGTACAAAGCCTATGCTTCACTGCTGAGTTACAGCCCTTCCAAATGTATGTTGATAATGTGAATTGATAGAGATCAGCAGGAATGCTCAGCTCCAACCCCAAGACCCAGGTGGATGTCTGGGGAACCCTGATTCCCTGTGTTAGCAGCAGATCAAGGGAGAGGTGCACACAGAAAGAAGCAAGAGCATTTTGAGAGGGTTCCTACGTCTCGCTCCCAAGTTCTACCTCCTTCCCTCCCACAGGCAAGTCCACATCAATGGGATGGGAAGAAGAGGCGGGCTGTGGGGGTAACTGGCTGCATCTTTCCCGGGACTTGTTCAAGCCTGTTGGTTGGCACCAGTTTCTCTTTTCCTTACTACAGGCAGAGTAAGCACCCCCAGATCGCAGCTAGAGCTACAAACAAGACAGAGGGAGTGGTGCCTGCTTGAGGAAAACCTTTCCACAATGCTTGACTTCGTGAAGGACACATTCCCCAGGAGGAAAGCAAAACCAACAGCATTGAGCGCAGGAGGAATTTCAGCTTAACTCAAAGCAGAGTGCCCCATGTTCTGCGAAATTTGCAAAGTGAAGCAAGCCACCTGAAGTTCAGCCAAAGGTGAGGAGTGGAAGTTTCAGCAGAAGGTGAGAGGACTTTGGCTACACGAGCATTTTCTCTCCATCGCAGCAGCACACCCTGATCTCTTTCAGCCACTCCATTGAACAAGATATTCCAGAAAGAACAAGCCAAGCTGAAAGTGCTTTGCTGGGCTCTCCCCTCTTGATGGTTCCATGAAACGAATCCCAAGGAGAAGGTTAGACCATGGTAATGGCAACATAGCTGGCCATTAAGAGTCTCTTTCTTCCTTTCTCCTTTCTCTCTCTGTTTCTGCCTAGCTGCCATACCAAATCAGAGACTGTCCACTGTCCTACTCATGCCCTCATAATGCATGTGTAATTATTATTTTTAATCCAGGAGTGGGAGGAGAAAACATTACATTTGCCCTTGTTCGGTATGGACTGGGAGATGGGTAGAGAGGGATTTTTTTCCCCAATCAACACGGCCGCATTAGTCCACACAAAGCTGAAAGCAGATCGCCGTTCACGTTATAACATCAGCTAGTCCCTTTCCCACAATGTCAAGAATGCCCATCCAATGTCAAGAAGGTTCACATGTCAAGAAGGTTCGCTTTATTTTATTCTACCCATTGTGATCAATATGCGAAGTTCATTCACATGTAGGTCACCTCACCGCCCATACCCTGAACAGGTTTCTACTTTCAGCTTTTCCCCCTATAGCTGGCAGAACTCCCCTTCTCTGAGAGAGACAGCAAAGCTCACATGCATAGCCTTGGTGTTAGGAATCTATGCAAGCGGCTATGAATAAGTCAGCAAGTTTTCACCCAAGCAGCAAGAGAGAGGCAATGATTTCCAGTGTCCACAACAACAACTGCTCATGGAAGGAAACTTTAACCTAGAATCCATTCCCAAAGGGAAGGAGGGAGGGGGAGATTCTGTTGCTTCATTATTGTTCTTTACCAATTTTGTCCTTGCTATTCTTTACAAATTTCTATGAGTAAGCCGTTTCAGTATGTTATCAGGCAGGAAAGAAGCAACAGTCATCAAAGCTAGGTGTGTGTATGTGTTATCTGCCTACAAAGAATGGATTCAGGGTGCAGCCCTTATGATGGCAATTTTGTTTGTTTGTTAAATCAGTTATTGTTTCCCATGATTGGAAGGAAAGGAGGGAGGGAGGGAGGGAAATTACCAACACCAAAAGAGAAAAAAGAACTTAAGCCAAGTTACTTACTTTTCTTGTCTAGGTTTCACTTCTTTCTTTGGTCTCTCTCTGTGTGGAAAGACAAGAGAAGAGATATCAGGAGGGAACCAAGAATATATACACAGGTATCACACCCACCCTTTCACCATGTTAAACCCCCTCCCCCCCAAAAAAATGATTACAAGGGTGCCTTTTCTATCTTTCAGCATTTTGCTTGTGTTATATGTTGTGTGCGAATTTGTTTTTATTCACACTTCTGTAAGCCATCCTGGAATCTCTCAATCAAGGGCCATTAACAAACATTTTAAATAAATTATCGCAGCCAGATGCAAAATAATTCCTGGCCATGATGCTAAGATGTTTCACAGCTAGCTATTGGCATCTAATGGAGTCTCATGCTGTGTGCAGGTATTTTGCCTGAACATGTGATGCTCAAAAGCAAGAGATGGAGGCAGGGGTGAGCATACAAGCTCCTTCCCCCCAGCTTCCCTAGGCACACGGGCTTCCCTTTAGACTGGGAGTGGGGGGCCACTTTCTGCCCAAGGGCCTGATCCTCACCTGGCTATCCTTCTTCCGGGGGCTGCAATACAACAGTGGGCAGGAGCAGAGGCAGAAGGGGGTAGGGCTGGTTTCAAAACATATCTTACATACTTTTATATACTGTTGTATATAAGATAGTTCAAAAATATGTAAAAATGAATGCAAAATACGTAAAATGCAGCCTTAGGAAGACTGTGGGAAATGGCAAGGAAGGTCAACATAATTGTCCAATGCCATCACATGGCTGGGAGGTGGGTGGGGTTAGCTAGAAATGACCATTCAGAGGGCCGGCCTGGCAGGCCTCCTTAGGCCCGTGCTTCAGAGGTCACAGAGAGCTGCTTCTGACCTTAATGGAAGCTTCTGAAGAGGGTTTCGCAAGTGTGCTCCATTGAACGCACTTAGAAACCACCCCACAAGTGGGAGACAAAGCTTAGTAGGGTTCCTGGTTGTGGGAAGTTTCTAACCATGTTTGATTGAACGTACCTATAAACCCTTTCCAGGTGTTTACAACCCGTTGAGTGAAGATCTAAAGGGAAGCCCATGCGGCAAGAGAAGTTGGAGGTGGGAGTTTAACTAGGTGTCCCTGCCCCAACTTCGCGAGCACTATGCATTCACGGCTTCAGTCTGCACCATCCTGTGAACATACCTAATTGGTGGCAAGCAACCTACAACTATTATATTAAGAACATAATACCTCTATTGAAATATTTTCCTTCAAGCAATCATCAAACAGAGGCCCCTCTATGCTAAGGCTATGGAACTTTTTTGTCTTTTCTTTTTTTAAGATGCAACTGTAAAGCAGTCAGTTCAACTCCAAGAAGGTATCCACTCTCACCTGCATTCACATTCTCTGTGCTGCTGGAAGCTCATCCGGCTTAAGTGCTGGCCTTGAAAGTGTTTAATTCTCAGGATCTGAAATGAAAGGAGGGGAAAGAAAGAAGGTAGAGGCTGAGTCTCATTCACCAATCACAACCTCTCAAAACAAAGAGGCAAACAGCACTATGGCAAAACAAAATTAAGAGAGGCTGCAATCCTATACCCACCTAACCTGAGAGCAAGCCCCACTGAACTCAGTAGGACTTACTCCAGAGTAGGCATGTATAAACTTGCTTTCTAAAGCAGTAAAGAAATATAAAACTGTGTAATTCTTGCTCCGGATGGCCAGCACAAGAACCCTCAATCAGCAGTTTGTTAAAAGGGCAAGTCTATACATATTTTTCAATCATCTTCCTCTTATTTGAATTTTAGCTACCAAGCAATCTACTTGCCCACAAAAATGACATGCTTCTCCACAGGTGGGGCAAAGGACCGTTTCTGGAGGCATATTGGTGCCTGGATTCAGGAAGACACAATGAAACATGACGAGCAAGGCAGCTACAGACTCAGGAGACTTTTGGCAGCCACAATGATTTCAAATGTCTGTAGAGCACACAGGATGATGAAACTTGAAGTGCAGGTTGCTACTGAGTGCGTGTGCATTTGCAATACTAAGGAAAGAGAGATGTGTGCAGGAGCAAACCACACATGCAGGGCTCATTCCATCAGCCAACTCTATCGGGCCTCTTCTCTCGCTTGTCAGCCGGAAGCAGCCATTCCAGGAGTCTGCCTTAGCAGAAGAAACGGGAAGAAGGGCTCAATCCATCAGCTCTGCTGAATGGACCCCTCCTGCCCCTGAACTGTTTCCATTCCAGCTGGTCACTAAAATAACTATTCAACTTTTAAGAACTGGCATCTGAGTTTTCCTCCTTCTCTTTCCTCCCTTTTCCTTTTGTGTTGGGTCTTTCAGATTCACACCTGCAGGCAGGGACTGTCTTGTCTGAACTGTTTGCATGCAAGAGACTTTGGGTGGAGAGCAGGTGCTATAAATACTGAGGCTCCCTAGTCCTGCAGACACTAAACTGTGTCTCAAAGACAGGCTTGCTAGTGTTGTCTGTTTGGTGAACAGCAGACGTAGGTGATAAACCCTTCAGCTTGGGGGCCTGTTCCTCTGCCTTGTGCAACAGCACACAAGGGTGGCACCGCCAAAATGATAACTGGCAGGAATGCAAGCTTAACTCCACACTTCACCAAGGTCATTAGTAGAACTGGTTTCCTTGGAATTGCCACTTGTGGTCTTGGGTCTGTATACCAAAAAAACCACCACGGCATTTACGCCCTCTGTTTGGGTGAGGCCAGGTCTAGAATGGCAGATTGACATCTGTAAATGGTAACTGGGGGGCATCAGCAGTCGTTTTCTTAGGCACTGATGCGGATGCGGATCAGGATTCAAGACATTTTTGCAAAGCTGAGAGGAACAGACAGGAAGCAAGTTCTGGCAGAGGCGTATTGGCTGTGCTGTGTGTGGAAAGCGTGCATCCTCACAGTATGCTTTGGCCTTAGCTATTCTTTCCAACCATTTCCCTTCAGGATGACTAAATTCAAAGTAAAAGAGAGAGGAAGCTCTTCCATTTGTCTCTGGATTGTTGTTCTTCCTACCCCTGCAGTGCCTTTGCAACTAACAAGTCAGAACTCTGGCTTGGCCAGTGGACCCTGACCTGGCCAACTTTTGATGAAGAAAGTTCACAGCTCCTTTTGTATGCCACAGTCTGCTGCACTGGGAGATGGGGTTGGAAGATACAGAAGCCAAAACAAGAATTAAGCAGAAGCCAGAGTGAAGAGGGGCCAATGGACCTGAGGGGATCCCTGTCTACACATAGATCCTCAGATTTGTAGCTAGCTAACGGGTTCCCTCCAGATGTTGCTGGACTCCAGCTCCCACCAGTAACAGCCAGCATGGTCGATGGTCAGAGATGGTGGGAGTTACAGGCCAAGAGCATCTCAAGGTGCAGAGGCTCCCCATCCCCAGCTTTTCTATGAGACTTAATGGGGACAAAAAACCTCAAGCTCATCCAGTGCAAGGGGTAGTGTGTAAGCTAGATTGGAGTGGGCAACATATTCAGTCAGGGAGTAGATGGATTCTCCCTATTCAAGCTGCTCAAAAAATCACGGACACTCCAGCTGGGCAGCCCAGCAGATGAGTGAAGGGCAACAATTCACACGCTGCTTTTAGACCAGCTAGCTATTTCTCAAATTTGAGGGGCTACCTGATCTAAAAGCAGCACGTGAAAAGCTACTACTACTACTACTACTACTACTATTATTATTACTATTACTATTACTACTACTTATAATACCCTATACCCGGAGGTCTCAGGGCAGTTCAGATAAAAATATCACAGTATATAAAATTAAAATAAAAGCAGTAACCCAGTAATACCCCCCCAAAAAAGAGCCACATTTCTCATTTAGCTGCTTGGTACCCTTCCCTCGAGAGGAGAGGTCTCTGTAATGCTATAGAAATCACTAGGTCAGTTCCCCCATTTTCTGATACAAGGAGTCTCTTGTGCTCCTTTTGACTTCACTAGCACTCCCTAGCAAGTAAAATCGCTCGAGGAAGGAGTGCCACCCGGCAGGCAAAAAGCAGAGCAAAAGTAAGAATAATAAAGAATCCTTCCACTCCAGTCCTTCGACAGCCGACAGCAGCAGTAGACAGAGGAGGCTGATAGATGTGGTTCAAGAGCTACCAGCTGACCATTCCTGATTTAGATAAACCACCCGTGGTCCTTTGTGAGGTACACTAAAGGAAACAAGCAATGTCACCTCCCCCTTTGCTCTGCTCCCCACCTCCAGTTCCTTAGCTAGAGCCTCACCTCCATGGTGACATTGTACGTCGATGTGGGTACGCACTCCAGCGCCTCGTCATTACAGCACCCTGCACACCTCATCAGGGGCACACAGGATGGCTTGAAAATGTATTCCACCTCGTCAGGGTATTCTTGGAAAATATCCACCATGGTCTCAATTGTCCTGCAGGCACTGCGCTCAAAGACCACCAGAAATGAGATAACTACAAAAAAACAAGAGGTGGGGAAGGGAGAGAAATTAGGAATTAAGAACATCTCTGTTTTGCACTGTGATCGTTCGTAAGCTGTTTCAAGGCAACGTAGGAAACAGGGCTGTGGGTGTGTGGATTAATGGCTCTGCACTCGGTGCTCTTTCTGCCTAGATACCTTTCCCATTATCTCATGGGCTCACTGAAACATGCTGTCAATAAATGCATTAGTTCAGTTAAAAAGCACTTAAACCCAAGGAGATACAGAGTAGAACAGGGGTTGTAGAAAAGCAAGATAGGGCCAAATCACTGGCAGGTTCAGCATTTGCCCGTTTGAATTTTAATGAGCTAGATATTCTGAACGCATTTGCAAGGCAGAAACTAAAGCGAATCGTGGGCCTCAGAAATCAGAGCAGATCTCACAGAGGACCATGGCAGATCTTATTAGAGCAGCATTCCCCTGAAGCTAGTGGAAGTGGAATGAGGAGTTTGACGCACTCTGCTCAGAAACCAGTTTACCAAACCCAGTTAACTCAGCCCAATAGCTCACCATATGAAAAACAAAAAATCAACTACAAGTCCTAGACATTGTGCATTTCAGGGCCTCTCTTAAAAATTGGCATTTTTCACAGAATAAAAGGCAGCTGTTGGGGAGAACCAGACATCATCTCCTAAGGAAGCACTTCTGCGGTGGGGATATTTTCCTGGCACTCATCACAGAATGTTTCATCACAAGGAAAATGTGCTTTTTCCTTCAACTACAATATTAGGCTTATTGCGATTGGCATGGAATCTGGAACAGCAGCTATGCAAGTTCTAAAGTCACCTACTGGATACTTGTCCATCACTCAGGTAAACCCTTAAGGTAAAGTAAAGGAAGGAATGACCTGCCATTTTGCAAGCCTTTCAGAAAATGTTCAGGTTACTTTTTTCGGAGCTGTGCTCTCACTCCGTCCTCATTTCAGCACTGGAGTGCTTGTGTCCCAGGATGTTCCTCCACCCAACCCCACCTGGCAAAGAGCAAAGAAGCTACCAGCACCCTCCAACAAGGCTGCTTCCATACTTTACAATGAGACAGGGTGTATATTGGTATGGCATTAGCAAAATTAATGCACTTTTCCTCCCCCCCCTTCCTATTGCTTGTGTTTCATGCTCTATACAGTGGTACCTCGGGTTACATAAATTTCAGGTTACATACGCTTCAGGTTACAGACTCTGCTAACCCAGAAATAGTACCTCGGGTTAAGAACTTTGCTTCAGGATGAGAACAGAAATTGTGCTCTGGAGGTGCAACGGCAGCGGGAGGCCCCATTAGCTAAAGTGGTGCTTCAGGTTAAGAACAGTTTCAGGTTAAGAACGGACCTCCAGAACGAATTAAGTTCTTAACCCGAGGTACCACTGTACTTTGTGTGTTTGCAAGAAGGATCCTACCTGACTTCCAGTATTGGGGGAAAGCTTTAGCCTGGGTCCAACCCGTCATCACCATAAGCTTTAATAATGTATTTCATTATCCAGACCGGTTATTAGACTTGTGTCACCATTTTTTATGAATATAAAAGGAAGTGTTGCATTCGAACAGTACTGAAGACATGAACAGGGCCACAAATATGTAGCTAGTAGAATGGAAAAGGTGCAATGGGCTGAGGTGCACCCATTTCAGCTGCAGATTTTCCATGCTATACAAACATAGGAAGCTGCCTACTCGATTTCAAGAAATTATACACTGCTTTATGTTGGAAAAGATCACCAAAAAAAGTGAGCAAAGGTATGTGCAAGCAATTTAAATTATAATTTTTATACTATTATCCCATTGGTCAATCTAGCTAAGTATTGTTTACACTGACCAGCAGTCCAGGGCTTCGGTTAAGGGGTTTTCCCAGCTCTACCCAGACACCCTGCAGACAGAACTGGTGACCTTCTGCATGCAAAGCAGATGTTCTACTACTGAGCTGCAGCCCTTCCCCAAAGACCTTGTGCATATGCCAAGAGAGAAAAACTTAACCAATTTCCACACACACCAATTTCCCAATGTTCCCAAGTGCACAGCAGAGCTCGGACTTGGGGAGGAAAGGCTGCAGAACAACACAAAAGGAACACATGCAAGCGTGCAAAGTCCTCGTCCCAAGATTGTGCTGCATACTTCCAAATACACTCCCAGCAGCATAGGATTGTTCCTTCTTCCTCCAGCGTGCAATTGCTTTTTTAAAAAAGCTGTTAGCAGGGCTCAGTTCACAGACACAGCAGATAGCATCTGACCCCAGCTTTCTTGCCTTCAGATCATACGCCTGTGCCGTATGCAGAGTCCCTGCTGTAGTGAGGTTGATAACCCGGTGTGATAACAAGCACAAACTGCTTGCATCATGGAAAAAAAAGGGACTCCGGTAAGCGTTTCTGAAGAGCCCTGAACCTGTGACAAACCTGCATAAAGGTTGTTCCATCGAAGCAGTGGAGGTGCAGGGAGGGAGGGAGGGAAGAAAAGAATGTACAGAAGCTGCCAGGCTTTGAGCTCAGGGCTTCTCAATTAATTGTCAAAAGTTAATTCTCGGTCATGTGGAGCTGACAGTGCCACAGTGCTGCTGGCAGCAGGTATAACTAAGGAGGAAGCTCCGCCTGGGATTTCTATGGGCTGCCCTGCCTAAGTGCCTATTAAAGAGGCAGTTGCTCAGGAAGCAAAAATGCAGAGTACTGACTGGCAGCGCTCATGGAGGAAACGCAAGCCCCTTCATTGCTTTCGCCTCCCCCCTCCTCTGCCCAGTCCAAAGTCTGGAATCAGCCTCTCATATCCTTTCTTGCCTGGTATGGGGCCACCTCCTTCTCCTTCCCCTTCAGAGTGACCTTAACCTTAAAATACAGCTATCTATAAACTGGAGAATTAAACAATTCAGCGCCTGGGAAACTTGCAGGCATGCAGCCAGACACGTAACCACATTGCTGATTATTCACACCTTTCCTAGCATGAGGCAGCAAAGAACCTGTTAGGGTAAAAATAATTTTTCTGCTCAGTATGCGTCTGCGTACAGTGGACCCTCCGGATACGGACTTAATTCGTTCTGGGGGTCTGTACGTACCGCAAAAAGTCTGTATCTAGAGGCGCCGCTTCTGCGCACATGCATGGTGTAATAGAGTGTTTCTGCACATGCGCGCATGGCAAAACCTGGAAGTATATACTTCCGGGTTTGCCACGTTCGCAACCCCAAAGTTACATTACCCGAAGGTAATGTAACCCGAGAGCCCACTGTAATATATGTATATGTATATGTATATGTATATGTATATGTATATGTATATGTATACGTATATGTATGTACACACACACACACACACACACCAGTGCCAAGCAGCTATGGGCACAGAGACAGAGCATCTCAAGATCCCTTCCATCCATGCTGCAAAAACACAAAAGCCAGCAGGTGTGGGGTTTTTTTTACAGAGTATGCAAAGTGGTAGCAATTGAGTTTGTTGATTTATTCACTGTTCTTACAGGAGCAACCTCTTCACCCCCGGTCACATCAAAATTCATCAAAATCTGGAGGGCTGCACTTAATTACACAGGACAAAATGTGCAACGGAACATGTAATCTGCATATCACTCAAAGAAATACGCCAGGTGCCCAAATATAATCAATAGGCATCGTGCTCTCCTTTTTTTATTCTGACATTTTCACCTTTAAATGGAAGGGGGTGAAGAGAGGGGTTGCCTAGCCTCTAAGAATCTTGGAATCTCAATAGACAGCCACATCTACAGCACAAGAAGCAGAAAGGTAAACCAGCTAGGAGCTTCCAAAGAAAGTGGCCTGACAGTTTCCGTTGCCTACAATGAGTTACATTAAGATGAGGAATAAGAAAGGGAAACTGTGTGAGTTTAAATAATTTTGAGAATTAGTGCTACTAAATTCTAAGATATCAATCCCAGATGGCAGAATCAGGCAGCTTTGTGGAGAAAGTGATGCACAACTGGAAGGAGAGAACATGTGTTGTAGAGTCCCTCATTTGTGGCTACACATACAGTTGTGGTGCTTTATAGATAGTGCATTATGATAAATTTCATTATTAATGTAGCAGAGTGAATCTGCAGGTGAGCTTTAAATGCAGTTGCCTGAATCTAGCTCAGTGACTGTTCCACATAGTGATCAAACACTGTCACAAGAGATTTCCTATAGAAGCTGCCACTTTAACTGGCTGCTTCTTGAGCATCTGCACACGAGAGGCATGTTCCAGTGTCTTTAAACAGCATTTGAAATGTAATCAGGATAAACCTACAAAACCAGGAGCCTGCTTTTGACAGCAATGCCAACTTGGCTGGGCAGTTTCTGTACACAGCATTCTGTAGAACTGAAATCAGGCCTAAAGCTAAAGGATGAAGGAACCCAAACAATTGCTTTGTGATAGAATAGCATCAACGATGAACCACAGCTTGACCCTCTGCTGCCATTGATATACCTGCAGCTCAACATAAAGGGCTATACAATCTAATGAGCAATCACGGCAGCCAGAGGTTTCCCTTATATGCATACTACAGGGAGGAAGCATTTCCCCTGAAAGCAAACGTGGTTTTTTGGATTCTCTCTGCGCTGGTCCACGTATTTCAAAGGTATGTAAATTCTAAATTCTACCTCCACTGTCAGAGGTAATACGTCTCCGAATACCAGTTGGTGGGAATCACAGGTGGGAAAGTGGGTCCTGTTTGCTGATTTCCCACGGGCAACTGGTTGGGAGTAGGAAGCCAGACAAGATGGGCCATGGGCCTGATCCAGCAGGCTCTTCTTATGTCTGCATGTTCTTATGAGGTCTGATCTGGCCCTGTGTGTGGAGCTGTCCCTGTCTCTGTCACCCACACAGGAACAACCCAGGGCCTGCACACATACAATCCTATGCAGCATAGGCCTAAATATGTCCATTTGATCCTCCACAGAAAATCAAGAGATCAACCCCACGGCTTTGGCCTATCCACACAGAGTTGTATATATACAGGCTCCACAGGTGGCCGATCCCCTTGTGGATAGCAGAAATTAAACCTGGCGCGCTTACTTCCGAGTATGCATGCATAGGATTGCGCTACAATTTACTGTACTCCTAAATCATGTAGACCGACAGCTAAGCAGTCGTTGGCCAGGAACAGTAAAATACAAGTGGCTATCCCCAGAATAAATCATTTTAATCAATGAAGACCAGTGTATGCCTAAGCCCATATAAAACCCCAGGGGAACAAAGTGATCTTTCATCCCCAAACCAGTACATGCTCTGTGAATATTAAGGAATAGAGGCTAAGCATGAGTATGCAATAATTGGGAAGAGAAACTCAGAATTCCGGTCCTACTCCTTCCTCTAGAACTCAACAATTCTCCTCCCATTTAGTTAAAACAAACCCAGAGAGTAACAAATGTTCAACTGTCCCACCAGGAAAAGAAATCCAGCGACAATATAAAATGGGTCCGTTGTTACAAACTTGCTCTCCTATAAGCCTCTGGCAATGCTCCTCTGGTTTACCCAGCCAAAAGAAATTGTTGCAATTGTAACCTACTGTGGCAAGATGAGAGGCTGCCCCCTGGTGCCCTGCACTAAGAACAGCAGCCCAGTGCCACTCCCTGAGTGTCCCAAAGCAGGCAGGTGACATTGCCGTTGCAAAAGTGGTACATTGCAAAGCTGGAAAACAGCAATTTGGTGATCTCACTGTGGGTGGAGACTGCACAGCCTAAAGGTCCAAAGTTTGCATCATGTATTGTTAAACTGAGGTCCTCACAACTAGGAAGTAAGTCTTGCTGAGGTGATTCAGTCACCTATCAAAATAAGCTCTGCTCTCTTTACTCACTAAATCCTCCTCTTGGCTCCACCTCTTCACCCAATGCTATTCCTGCCTCCAGCATCTCTCAACCTTCTCTTTTATGATGCACATTCATGCAAGATATAAGACTTTTGCAAGGAGCAGGGAGCTGGCTGCTCCCTCTCTCTCTCAAGAGGCTTGTTGTGAAAAGGCTGCACTCACTTCCAGAACAAGACCTAATTGCCCAGCACTTGCTGAAAGTCTAATGACCAGGAAAGTCAACATGGTGTCCATCAGATGTTGTTGGACTGCAACTCCCATCACCCCTCAACATTGGCCAAGCTGACCACAGCTGACGAGAGCTCTAGTCCAAAAACATCTGGAGGGCAGCATGTTGGGTCCCCCTGGTTCAGAAAGCAAATGCCTTCAGACCCACCACCACTACCCTCCAAATCGGTATAGTCACAACATCCTGGCCCCAGAAGTGGCTGAATTGCCTGTTCCAACATCTATAACGTCAGACGCACTAAGGAGCTTCTAGTCACCCTTTGCCCATATTCCCAGCTATACTGGACTCTGATCCCCAGCAATGTATTGACTGGAAAAGTTCAGCCCCAATGCCCTGCCTTGTGCAGAAAATTAAAACACGCCCACACACCACCACATGCGTTTTCCCTCCTCCCAATACACTGACAGTGCCATCGTGTGCATGTTTCCTCCAAAGTAAACCCCACTATGTTCAGTGACGTTTGTCCCAAGGTAAGTATGCCAAGGATGGCAGCATTTGAAAAGATGGCCACCTTCTGATAAGTTTCACTGCTGCTAAGGATAGAGAGGGAATTGACTGGAAAATTATCCCCTTTTAATTCCCTAATTCAGGTTTGCCAGCGGCATGATCTTTGGAAGACTCCAACACTGGTTAATAGTTTGGTGTCTTGCTTCTGTGTTGGAACAATACAACCTGGGTCAAAGGCTTGCTAATGGGAAAGATGCATAGGTGCCCAGTGATAACAAATAAATGCCAAACCTTCCACAGAAACCATGGCAAATTCCTCCGTACTTCTTCAAAGCGTTGCTGAGAATGGGGGGGGGGGCATGAATTTTATTTTTAATTAATTCAAATTAAAGGGCAAGCATCCTGGAAACTGAAAAATAAGCTTCAGAAAATATGTTTTATAGGGTTTGGTAAAACTCAGGGTTTCACACTGTCTGTACTCCAAAACAAAACAATAATTTTCTTAGTTGGAGCAATTTTAATGGGGGGGGGGCAAGCTGGGGTATAGTGAAGCTAAGGCAAGGTTAAATCTGGTCGTTAACTGTTCAAATTGTATTTCCCATTCCTTCCTTTTAATATGTGTGCTTGATACCCATATGTGTGCTTGATACCCATTTTCCAGAAGGTGACAGAATTAATGAGGCTCCCCCCCCCTCAGCAGCCCAGCAAATCCACCTCCACAACCTGCCAACTTTCTCCCATAATGTATCTGCACCCACCATGCCAATTAGGGGAGCAGAAGGAAGACAAGCCACTTACCCTCACTCTGTTGCTTTTCCCCATCTCCCTGGGCAGGAGCAGCCTGCGAGAACTGTGAAAACAAGAGAAAATTCATCAAAACACAAAAATACTGTTAACCTGTCTCCAGAAAAAAATGCTTTTAAACAAGAGAACCAAGTTGCTTCCCAGGACTCTACAGCAAGGCAAAATCAAGACACCATTTTAAACGGTCATGGGTCCCCCTGCAAAGAATCCTGGGAAGTGTAGTTTTTTATGGGTGCTGAGCATTGTGAGGAAAGCCCTATTCCTCTCACAGAGCTACAGTTCCCAGTGATCTTTAGGAAGTTGTTAAACTACTCTGGGAATGGTAACTCTGTGAGGGGAACAGGGGTCTTCTAACAACCCTCAGCGCCCTTGACAAACTACATTTCCCAGGATTCTTTGAGGGGGGCCATGATACTACAGTTATGATAAAGCGCAGATGAGGCCTGCCATAATTTGCGGCATTACTACAAAAATGTTGATGGCAAACAGTTGCAAGTCCACAATTCTTCTCTTCACTGGGGAATGAGACATCCTCAAAGGAACGTGTCCGAATTATCAGCTGAAACACTTCTGGGGTAGGGCAGGGCTGCGTGGAATTATTTCTTTCTTTTCATTTGTGGGGCGTATTTCTCCAGTTTCCACACTGAAACACCCACAGAGACCCTTCTCTTTCCCTCAGACAGGAGGGAAAGTGGGCTTCAAATGCCACCCATCAGGGCAAGGAAAGGGCAGGGGGGAAGGAAGGCCCAAGAGAGCCAAGTTCCACAGGCCCCGTCCGTGAAAGGAGGGGAGCTCAGGAAGAGAGATCTCACAGAAAGCTCTTCTCCCTGTCACTTTCACAGGCAACAGAAGTGCAACTAGCTGCTCTCAAGGCATTTCAGATTATTAAGGTCGAAACACAAGAGAGCAAAGCTGAACTGGGGAGCGGGGTGGCTGAGGAGAAAACAACATTGGTGACCTTCTAGCGCTGACATGACAAATATGCCACGAGATTTGTACACGTCCCTGTTCCATGGAAAGTCAGTAGAAGGTATTTCGAAAAGGGGCCTGCCTGCTACAAAGCACTCCAGGAGCAGAGCGCAAAAGGGAGCTGGCAGAGCCGTTAAAGGGTCCACAATCAAAAAAATGTCCCCTTCCTAGTTTCGTAACAGGATGGGCATGGCGTGATGCGAGGCAAATTTGGAGAACAAGTGTCCCTCAGGTTGGAGACTCTACCTGTGCTACATCTGCACAAGAGTGGTGGCTCCTAGCTAGTCTCAGGGCCAGCGTGTGGTGTGGTGCTTCGCCTTGGACCAGGACCTGGGAGACTAGAGCTATAATCACCATAAAGCTCACTGGGTGACCCTGGGCCAGTCACTTTCTCTCAGCCTAACCTACTTCACAAGTCTGTTGTGAATATGAAATGGAGGTAGAACATTCATGCTGCCTAGAGCTGCCTGGAACAAAAGAGGAATATAAATATAATAAATAAATAGTCTTAAATGCAGTATCACAAAATGTTGGGTTGTTTCCCCACAAGTCTTTGAAATTAGATGTCCCATTAAAATCGGATAAGTGTTAGTCCTCACCATCCCTGAAAGTACTTCCATCTTTTTTTCTCAATCACTCCATCGCAAACAAGCACCTATCTCACATCTAACCTGCCCAAGATACGCTCTATAGTTCTTGTTATCAGAGAACTGTTTAAATGGCATTCTTCAAAACCAGCTCCTTTCTCAAGTGCTCAAATACTAAAACCCTTAGGAAGTCACTATTAACAGTCCTGGTTTTCCAGCTAAGCCATTCTCTTCGCTGGTGTCTATGTGTTTTGGGGGGGAACGTGCGGCGTATATATACAAGCAACACACAATTTGCAGGTTGCACGTTTAGTCAACAAATTAATTTCTATAGCTGCATGAATGGAAATTTAGCCAGAACAGTGAAGAAGGATGGCACAGGTAGACAGCAGGTAGCCATATCTATATGCAAGCAGTTTGCACATTTATTTTAGAGAGAGTAATGGGGGTTTAAAATTGAGGAAGGGGGGAAGTATTCACATAAAATTTCCCCTTTGGTTTGCATTTGCTACTAATATGCCTCCAAGTCTCTCGGTTTCTGTCCCAAAACTTCAAGGAATTTGAGTGATGCTTAGTTTCAGATCTCTGAGTTACTCAGCCAAGGTCGATAATCCAGTTTCAGTGAGGAGAGAAGGCCATCAGGCCATTCCATTAGTGTCAACAGTCCTGATCTGCAGATAATGGATAAGAACCCACAAAGGTGGCTGCAGGAGAAGCGAGAGGAAAGCAGCAGAAGATGCCTGGCCTCTGCTCTTGAACAGCTCGGCTGCTGAACTCACATTTACATCCATGAAATCTAAGCAGCCTAAACTGTGTGTTGGCCAAGTGGCAGAACCACCTGTTCTTAAACAGAAAGAAAACTCACAACTGGCTGGCTTTCTTAGCAAAGAGAGCTTGGTAGTCAACAGGCTACAATGTTAAGAACAGAGGAAGATTTCTATTCAAAAACAGGGAGCGGTTTCTATCCCAATGTGAAGGTGATGACAACAGGTATAACCATGATTTGGGAGGAAGAAGCCACACCTGAACCCCAGTAACCAACCAAGGCCAGCAGGCAGCTGGAATATACTCAAGGAAAAGTTGCGTCCGAGGCCTCAGATGCACAGCCTGCAAGTGAGATGGCAAGCTGCCACAGCTGTCAGGCAGGTGTCCACCCACCTCGCCGGCACCGCGTATCGCACGTAGCCCTTATGAGCAAGCATCAAGTGGCAAGCTGTCCTGGGACTCCTCCGGTTTATGATGGAATACCACACCTGCAGCAAACGTGATCGCATGCACCTGTTCCCACATGAGTAGGCAAGAACACAATGCAGACCAAACACAATCAGGGCCCTAGTGAAAGAGCAAAATGTCTCAGCTTGCCATCCTTTATTTCCTCTTATTCTTCTTTGGGAGATTCTGAATCAGCTACAAGCTGCTCATTACTTTTTAGCTAAAGTTGCCTTTCAGGGACTTTGTGTTGTTTTTTCAAAGTCCTGCTAATTTCACTTGAAATAGCGCTCTCTCTCTCTCTTGCTCTCGCTCTCTATCTTCAATGTTCAAAACAAAACAAAAATACATTTAGGAAAGGGACTGCCAACTAAGCCATTGATGTGGAACCTGTGGCCTGCAATGTCTTGTTAGACTCCAAATCCCATCAGCCCCAACCAGCAAGCCAATAGACAAAGATGATGGGAGCCATAATCCAGCAACATGTGGAGAGATACTGGCTCCCCATGCCTGGGCTATGCTATTGCTTACAACACTTTGCTCTGCTAAAACCTCTAGTTTCGGAGCTGGCTGAAAGGCCACTAGAAATCATTCCAGACACTAAATGGAGATTTACTCTGGGTTGTTGTTTTTTTTAAGTATGTGTTAAGACGAGACTGAATACTGCTGATTAACAGAGATCAGCTGTATTACATCGAGGTATTCTCCTGAAAGGGATTGCCATCTATCTCCATTGCTCCTGTAACGACACAGTTGTTAGCCATCACGTACAATATTTTCACAGCATTGCTCATGCCGTTTGCCTTGGGATCGAGACAGCCTCTTGGAGCTATTTATACAGCAGTGTCACCTTGAGTCTATATCAGAAACATGAAGGTGCTTTGCTTGCCTACAGTGCTGAATTATGTTCTCTGCTGTTGCGACTGGGCAATCCTCAGCTAACCAAAGCAGCAGTGCTTAGGCGGAGGGCAATTTGTCCCCATTTACACCGGACTTTTCTCCATCGCACGGAAGACACTAAAGGGGGGCGGGATCCTTCCGAGGGACAAAAGGGCCTAGTGCCCTTCTGAAGGTCAGGCAGCTTCCACCCATCTCCTTTGCTGGCTTGGGCTTTTACTCATTGTTTCTACACGATGGCTATCTTTCCATCTCACTTCAGAGTTTCCCATAAGACAGATTCTGTCTTAGAGCAAAGATAGAGCAAACTGGGCGCTAGGGAAAATGCAGGTCACCAAGAAAGACTCTCCTCTTGAAACCACTACCTCCTGCTTTTACAACAAGGTGCCCGGTTCCAGTTTGAACCAAGGAAAAGGTTAATCCAATAAATTACACACACACACACACACACACACTTTACTCCTTCACACCACAACTACCCCTTTCCCTCCTCCCCCTCCCCCTAATCTCTGCAGCCTCATTAAAAGAGCTTTGTAACTGTTTAGGACTGGAACAAACAATCCAGCTACTTTGGAAGGCCCCCTGGGACAGGAGTTAAAACCCTTTCCATCTCAGGCGCTAAAAAGTCTTCTCAGAGGTTTCTACTTAAGGAGGAGCTTTGGTCTGCAAAATCTCTCTCCTTCCACCCCCCCCCCCCATTGTGCATACAAGGGGAGAGAGGCCAGTAATCCAGGCAAGCAACAAGAGAGGGATCTCTGAAATGGCACATGAGAAAGAGAGGCTTGGGCTGTTCAGAAATGACAGCAATATTACCAGAGGAGCACTGGAAGGGGGGGGGATCTGCCTTTTGCTGGGAATACTTGTTGATCCTGGTGGGAGGTGACCCACTCTGTTCCTTTCGAGCTTAACACAAGGAGTTGGGAGGAAAGCCCTGTCCCCAGTGTGGCCTGATCAACAGCAAGCGGCTAGTGGCTGCAAGATCATTAGCAGTCTAGTCACACGCTCTTGTCCCCTCCCCCCTCTCCTCCTCCTCCTCCTCCCCCCTCCGCGTTTGATCTTTGCCTGATCCCACTGGAAACACATCCTGGGAAGGAGCTCCAAGGCATGTTCACTACACCTAACTTAACATCAAACCGTACTAAGTAAGGTGATGGCGGAAAGGGAACTGCAAGATGCCAGTTAAGTAAAAACCAGGACAGAATAGAACTGTCCAAGGTCTTGGACGGAGCCTAGATCCAAATGGTCTTTGAACTAGGGCAAGAAAATCAACAGGAAGATGAAGTACGCAAAGTCGTAACTTGACAAGTTTGGAGCAAGTCATCTAACCCTCTTCCCACCATATCCTGACCAGCAACTTCAGAATTGGCTAACGGTTGGGGTAGGCAAGGAGGTGGGGTATGGCCACTGACTGCACCAATATATGTCTCTATGTACCTCCTGTGGATGGAGACCAACACCTGTGGTACCTCTGCCAGGTCACTGACTTGCAGGTTTCCTAGACTCACTTCATAGCCTCCATCTGTGGTTAGTAAATGTATCTTTCCCTTGACCAAAGGAACCTTATCACAGACCAGCACCTCCCCTTTTGTGCTCACTTAAAAGCAATTGCACAGAACTCCGATTCTCCTCCCAAACACCACTTCTCCCTCAACACATCCAGCGGCAGGCAGGTGTGTGTAGTCAGAACTGCAGGAAGTTGATAAATATAAATTTATCAATTTCCCTTTCCCAGCAGAGACACAGCTTGCCAAGAACGTGAGCTTCGGCTAGCACTCCTATTACTCTCCTTTACTATAGTTCCATACAATCTACCCAAGAGACTGCGCAGTCTTCACAGCTGAGCATCCCGTCACCACACCTCCCTGAAAGAAAAGGCATCTCTGGTTCCCCCTAACTATCTCAATCTATCTACGCTCAACTTTTCATTCACCTCGGAGTAACCCTCCCTCTTTCACTTCACCTGCAGGACCTCATATTTGAACAATGCCATTTTAAGAGCGCTTTCCAAAGAGAGCACAGAAATGGTATCACGCTGCCTTGCTGCAAGGCTCCCCAAAGAAATCGGAGCCACGTTTCCCCATCAGGCACAGCCTCATCTGCTGATGTCACTTGAAGACAAGTGGCAGGCTAACAGGTTAGCAGGAAAAGCATGTGACCCCCCTGGCAACAGGACATCTGAAATGGCTCCTAACTGAGGTCTTACATTTGCTGCTAAATTAAACAAATGCAGATTCATTTTCCTATGACACACTGATTCTCACATGTTGTTGCAGGGGTGGTCTGTGCCCACACTGACCTCCCCTAGAATTTCTCAAGACAAACAGCAGAATAAAACTTATTCTGTACTAATTATGACATGAATCTCTTAACAGCACACATGAGCCACCTCAGCTGGAAAATCTGTCTAAACCCCGATACCCAACTCTAGACTCTCTCTTTTTTAAACAAGGAGAGTTCAAACAAAAGTCCGCTAAAAGAGCAGGATAAAAGCCCTTTATGGTATATATTAGGAGTAATGGGGTGGACTTCCACAATCAGAAGTACCAATAAACTGATAGAGGAAAAGAGTTATGAGGGCAGGAGAACAAACTTCCTACTTATGGTAGCTCAGCAGAGCCGTTTATTTTGAAAATCAATCTGGAAGAAATACAAGGATCCATTTTGTGGTCTTTGATCTCTATTTGCTTTTCCAAGCCAGGAATTTTGAACTCCGGTCAGCAAACCTGCCTCTACCTAAAGCAAACAGGCCGAAACAGCCACCACCCCCCCCCCGCCCCATTTTGCAATGTCAGGAAGGAGAGAGAGTGTGTGTGTGCTGATGCAAGAAGTCAGCGCGCTCCGCTGCCTCCCCGCTCGGCGATCGATGACGACGCAGAGCCTGTGTCGTCTTCACGCCTGGTTTTCCAACTCCTGCTCAACTCCGCAGACAGACAGAAGGGAGGGCAGCCCAGCAGGAACCGTCTGGGCAACGTGCGAGGAAGAGGAGGTCAGACCTGTCCTCCTGGGGGATCCGATCTCGCGCCTCCCTTCTTGCCACAGGCCCCGCGCGCCCCGTTCGCGCGAACGCCAGCAGGGAAAACCTCCACGCCTCGACCCTGCCTCGCTCCCGGCCTTTTGTTGGCAGCCGCAAGCGGCGCAGACACCGCGTGTCCGCACCAGCGCGCCAGGGCAAGCCGAAGGCGGTTTGGCGCCGAGGAGCACCGAGGCACCTGGATCTGCCCTCCATTTGCGCCAAGGCAGCTTCCGACACGCGCGCGCGGATTTCTTTCTGGTCCGGCTGACGATCCCCTGAACCCCCGCGACGCGCCCTGGCCGCCAAGCGAGCGTGCAGCGAGCAAGGCCACGCGGGGGCAGGAGGAAGGCTTCCCCGCCGCCCCGGATCCGCCCGCCCGCCCCCTGCTTTACCTTGGCGTTCTGGAAATAGAGCAGCGCGGCCAACCCCCAGTGCATCCAAGCGAGCAGAAAGTTCATGATTCCTGGCGCGAGGCAAAGAGGAGCCGGAGTAGCTGGTCGGAGCCGCGCTGGCTCGCTCTCTTGAACTCCTCTTCTTCCCTTTCCTGGGGCCGCTCCGATCAAGGAAAGCGCAGGGGTGGGTTGTGGGGGGGAGGGGGGAGACTTCAGTCTCTGGTTTCACCCGTCCATAAGCCCGGCTCCCTAGGCGCCCGAGACGCAGATTCCCCTCCGCACACCTCTCGGCTCTCTTTTCGGCTTGCAGAAAGACTCTCGGGGCTTCCTCGCTTCGGATTCGGAGCCTCTCCGCAGGAATCCCACCAGATTCGTCAGAAGGTTCTGAATTGTAACAGATTTCCAGCCGCCCACTCTCACTCTCTCTCTCTCTCTCCAACCCTCGGTGGCAAGACACCACACGCGAGCGAGCGTGCACTGCACAGGCAGACACACACACACCAAAAAAAAAGAGAGAGGGGGAAGCGAGGAAAGTTTGCGCGAAGTTTCAATGCATTTTCTCTCCCCCGGGTCTCTCTCGAACGCACGCGTGGGCTCGGATCCTGCAGCCGCTGTCGCTGCTTCCAAGCAGAAGTGGCTGGGTGGGGGGGGGGTGTTCTCTCTCTCGTCTTAGCACCACCTTCGGGGCCCGGGATCGCTCAGCCCAGTTCGATTCGGGACTCTCCTCTGCTAGGCGTGAAGAAGAGGAGCAGAAAATGTCCCCCCTCTTTCTTTCCACTTAACCAAAAATTAAAAAATCCAAGTTGCTTAGCGAGGAAAGCGAAACCTCTCAGCCGATCGTGGTGGTGGAATAAATTAATAGGAAAAAAAGGAATAGCAGATCCTAAATGCGTAGGATATAGGGAAGATCGCTCCTCCTCGCCTGAATCTTTTCTTTCCCGTTCTTCTGTCTTTCTTGCCTTCCTTCCTCTTTTATTTCTTCCCTTTCCTTTCCCGAGGGAGCCTGCACTTTTCGCTCTCTGTGCGTCCGCGGCTCCCTTTCTCTCTCGATTGAATGTCAGGCAGCAGCAGCAGCGACGCTCTGACTGGCTGGCGCGCTCGGTGAGCTTTGCCTCTCGCGACTCTGCTCGGAAAGAGACTCTTTTTCAGGCTCCGTAGTCCCTCCCTCGCCCTCCTCCTCGGCGCTCCTCCCTCCTCCCCCCCCACTCCCTCCCTACTTATGACACTCCGTACTTGTCACCTGGAATTAAAAAAGACCCTCCTCTTTACCACCGCCCGCCTCCCTCCGCTGCACACGCAGATCCTTCAGCGCATTGAAGGTTGAGCCGGGAATCCGGGATCGAGGCGCATGGAAAGGCTTCCGCGCGCGTCTGTTTCACTCAACGAGTGGAAAGAGCGCAGATGTCCCATTCATTTACGCGAGGGTTTCTGATTGAATTGTGCCAGTGCGGTTATGACCTTCATTATAAAAATGCTTAAAAAAAACCAAACCCACATTAAGAAATGAAGTACCAAGTCCATATAGTGACCATGGCGCCTGTTCATGGGTCGGTTGTTTCAAAAAAAGACCCTAAGCTATTGGCGTGGGACAAGGCGAAGTCGCGGGTGGAGTTCCTTCCTTGTCCCGGTGTTCCCTGAGGAAGAGATCTCGCTCAGTTGTAAAGCGTAGAAAAGGTTCGATCCTATCCATCTCCTGGGACAAAAAAACCGAAGTGCGGTGGTTATCTGTTGTGAGCCGCCCTGTGATCTTCGGGTGAAAGGCGGTATACAAATTCAATAAATAAGAATGATCATATCTGAAACGCTAGAGAGCCTCTGCCAACCAGTGCAGACAGTGCTGAACTAAACAGAGTAACGATCTGGTATACGGCGGCTTCCTTCCCGCCCCGTTTTTCTTGAATATAAGGCTTGCGAGTTTTTAAAGTTCTAGGCAGCTTTTGTAAGCCTCTCTTCTCCCACCCGCTTTTGCCTGCAAAAGAGGCAAGCATGCCACTCCTGAGCGCGCATGTGGACATACTTTGTGCTTTCCAGGGAATTGGCCTTATTGTCTGCTCCATAGGTAGGCCAAAAACTGCGCGCACCATTCTCTCTCCAAGTTCATCCAGCCCCCTCTTGGCTTTGGAAAGCCATTCCCAGTGTATTCCCCACTTGGGAAGCCCAGTTTCACCCCCCTCTTCCTTCCCAACGACTTCTGAATCAGAATCTCTCCCTGAACTCTGCAATGGTTTCCACACTTCAGAAGTTCAGCCCGGGCAAAATGCAAGCTCTTCGCCGCAGCTGAAGGAAGCAAAGCGCGGTGGGGGGTGGGGAGGGGGAGAGGAAATATCATTAGAAAGCAGTCGGCGCTAAACCAAGGGACCTTGAATGAAATGGGCAGAGCTGTGACTGTAGCGCTACCTGGTGGCAGAAATTTGAAGGAACTTGAGCAAATGTGGCTAACTCCTCACAGAAAGTGTGAGGAAAGGAGTTACTTGAATATTTGCTGCATTAAAGCTTTGCACATTGGCAGCATATTTTTTAGTCAGCGAGGTTAATCGGAGGCATGGTTATTGCAGATTGAAAATAACATGATTTTTTATGTTGTTGTTTTTTGCACCGGCCACATTAAATATGACACTTTTCCTATTGGTGGCGGGGGAATCCATTTAGGGGAAAGCGTGAAACAGACTTGCACTTTGTGATCGTGTGTGATGTTCACACCTGTATATAATATTTCACTAAGAACGTAAGAAGAGTGTGCTGGATTAGGCCATTGGGCTATCAAGTCCAGCATCCTGTTCTCACAGTGGCCAACCAGATGCCTGTGGGAAGCCTGTGAGCTGGACATGAATGCCATACTGCCTCTGACTATGCAGCCAGAGCATAGCCATCATAGCTAAAAGCCACTAGTAGCCCTCTCTTCCTCCATGAATTTGTCCGATCCTCTTTTAAGTCCATCCAGGTAGGTGGCAATTTCTACATCCTGTGGCAGTGAGTTCCATAGTTTAACTATGCACGGAGTGAATAAGTACTTTCTTTCACCTGTCCTGAATCTTCCAGTAAAGGTAAAGGGACCCCTGACCATTAGGTCCAGTTGTGACCGACTCTGGGGTTGCGGCGCTCATCTCGCTTTACTGGCTGAGGGAGCTGGCGTACAGCTTCCAGGTCATGTGGCCAGCATGACTAAGCCGCTTCTGGCGAACCAGAGCAGTGCACGGAAACGGCGTTTACCTTCCCGCTGGAGCGGTACCTATTTATCTACTTGCACTTGGACATGCTTTCGAACTGCTAGGTTGGCAGGAGCAGGGACCGAGCAATGGGAGCTCACCCCGTCACGGGGATTCGAACTGCTGACCTTCTGATCAGCAAGTCCCAGGCTCTGTGGTTTAACCCACAGCGCCACCTGCGTCCCATCAGAATCTTCCAGTATTCAGCTTCATTGGATGTCCTTGAGTTCTAGTGTTATGAGAGGGAGAAAAACTTTCCTCGTTCTCCGCTTTCTCCATGCCATGTCTATCAGGTCACCTCTTGCTCACCTTTTCTCTAAAGTCTCAAATGCCGCCAACTTTTCCTCATTGGGGAATTATTCCATCCTCCTTATCAGGTATACAGGTACTGGGCAGTTTCATGCAGTTGTATACATGCTGAGCAGCAGGTTATACACATCAGGGTCATCTTATATGATAATGTACATGGAGGTCTTCTATTTTTCCTCACACATTCTCAACCTTCAACTCTATGCACAAATACCTGAGAACAAGGGCAAAGCAAATTCCCTCAGTCAGGCTTTAGAATAAGGAAACCAAAGCGTTTTCTTTGAATTTTTGAATGTGGCTTATTTGTGTAGCTTATTCAAAGCCAGATTCCTAGCCAAATGGGAACCCATTGTGCCCACAATGATGGACGAGGGCTCAATCCTCCCTTCATCTACCTCCACTGAGCTTCCAAACTGCTTCCCTCACTTGCCCATATACCTGCCTGCCTGCCTCCTGGCTTGCTGCTTTGGCACTTACCTGCTGAGTACCAAACCAATTGTGATGTTAACTGTATAGACACAATTAATGCACACATGTTTTGTGAAAGCCTCGTGTAAGTGGTGTGGAGAACTATTTCTCTCCCTGACTACGAAAACCTCCTCTCTGAAGCTACTGGGCACAGGATTATAGGCAACAGAGGCAACCTCTTGGTCCATCTTGTTCAGTATTGTCCAACTCCCAAGACACAGTGATCTACTCCCACTATTAAAAGAAACTGTCGGTGATCTCCCCAAAGTTTTTGAGCTTTTTCTGGGGAGGCTTCAGCTAAGTTGTTGACCAGGGATGCCCCACGATCGACTGGTAGATCGCGATCGACCGGTTGGGCATGCCTGGTCTATAGTAATAGTGGTTCTCCATGATTTCAGACAGAGAATATCTCCCAGACCTACCTGGAGTTGCCAGGGATTGAACCTGGATGCAAATAAGATGCTCTGCCACTGAGCTATGACTCTCCTTGGCACCAAAGGAGCCTTCCCTTGAAATGCAAAGGACAGTTTTGGAGAAGTTTTTGATCAGGACCATGGCAGGGAGAGAAGAGTTATTATTATTTTCCTTCCCTTCTTCTCCCCACCCTTATGGCTCAAGGCTACCCAGGCTACCCCTCACTAGCTTTTTACACAAAGAATTGCATGATTGTTGGCTCCAACCCATTAACACCAAGCAAAAGCTTCAGAGATTCAGTGACATCAGATTCAGGTGAACTCAGATTCCTCCTCTTGGCTCACAATTCTGTAAATTTCTTATGAACAGTAAATTCGTTATTAACTTGTCCTGTTTATTGTGAAATCGCTCATTAGTGGCTGCTGCAATATTATCAAAATGGAAAGAGTTTCAGTGAGGTAAGAAACTTACTCAGAGCAAGAAACTACTCACAGCTAGGGGAGGAAGACTTTGGGACAAATACAAAAGAAGAGGAAATGATATAAACCAACAATGATATAAATGCCACCAGTCCCATTCCTATGAGTGCAGATCATTTTTTTAATTATTATTTTTCTGTTCCTTTTGAGGTTCTGTAGAAAACTACAGTCATACCTCGGGTTGAAGTCGCTTCAGGTTAAGCCTTTTCAGGTTGCGCTCCACGGCGACCCGGAAGTAACGGAGCGCGTTACTTCTGGGTTTCGCCGCTCGCGCATGCGGAGACGCTCAAAATGACGTTGCGAGCATGCG